CCTGTCTCCTCCAATTCTGCCAATGTGGACGAGTGACATGTTAGAAATTAAAAGGTGCGGGCTTCAACCTTTCCTGGGAGTGAGCTTCAAGGAAGGTGCTTGTTACTGCCAATTAGTACTGAAAGGTTCAGAGAAATGACAAGAGAGCAAAGTTTAAATTGCATCTAAACTTGACATGATCCATATAAAAAAATCGTATGAAATCTGTAAAAAATGATCATAGAAATGATAAATGAATTGGGAAATTTTCAGCAACCAGACATTAACAACTAAATACACAATGCTACCTGAAATAAAAAATGGAATTAATTGCATTTAAATTGCATAGAGTAGCCCACATATGTGAGTTTACATTTATTTTCACACAGCAGTTAAAAGGTAAGGACAATTATAATTCTGCTGAGGGATATTTTTTTATCTTAAGTTCTATATTCAGGGTGAGGCACTGCCTAAACCTATTTTTGCCCCTGTCTCTTCTAAGGAAAGATGAGGGAATCATTTTTCCAAAAGACAGTCCTTCCTAAGCAACTCATTCAGAACTTGTACTGGGTATGTTGTTAGGTGCCAGCAAGTCAGTTCCGACTCAGCCACTCTAGGGCTGACGGAAGAATACACTGTCTGGTTCTTTGCCATCCGCACAATTATTTGAGCTCATTGTTGCAGCCCCTTACCATGGCTTAACCTAATTAATATATATCTTTAAACAAACCAGCAAGCATTAAAGCAACTGTTTAGTAAAATCCAAGAACCGTGCCGGACATCTGGGAAAGCTGTTCACTTCCTGCAAGTGCTTTCGGAGTGCAGGGAGGGAAAAGGCCTCCACCTTGGAGCTATTTAAGGTTGGAAAACCCTGGGAGAGCAGCCAGAGGGATAATGGGTACAGGCGAGAAGGGAGCGTGGAGCCCAGGGGATCATTGACCAAGGGGAAAGAATGGATGTTTCTGACCAAAGGCTTTCTTGAGGGCACATGCAATTTTGGAAAATACATTTTTATACTGGACGATCAATGTGTAGGCTATGTGAAGAAACCTAAGGTCTAAACATTTGAACAAATGTTCCTGCACTATTGCTCGCTGTGCTTCTACGTATGAGAGGCCATGTTCAGGTAACTCTACTGTCTTTATTAGAAGGCCCCGTGCTACTTTGCAATCACAAGCTAGCAGAAGAGTTAGAAACAAATGGCATTTCCAGTGTGAAAGAAATCTGACCACGCCGACGCACATAAACATCAATGCCACACTGCACTTTAAAGGCAGGTGAGAGAAATAGGCCTACTAGCTTCCTGACAATGGCTGTGTGTCCTTGAGTTGGTTCTGATTCGTCCTGACCCAGCAGGACCAAGGACGACTGCTCAGAGTAGCCGGCTACTCCCATGTCTGCCTCCTGCAGAGGGGTCCGAGGGTGGGCAGGAGTGGGATTCAGACCTCCAACCTCTCTGTTAGCAACTGAGCACTTAGCTACTACCAGGGCAGGATACGTTCCCAGTGGTTCTTAACCTTCCTAATGCCACGGCCCTTTAATGAAGTTTCTCATGTCGTGGTGACCACCCCAACCATAAAATTATTTTTATTGCTACTTCATAACTGTCATTTTGCTACTACTTGTGAAAGGGTCGTTCAACCACCAAAGGGGTCACAACCCACAGGTTGAGAACTGCTGACTTAAAGCAACATTTGATTCTTAGAGTTGTCAAATCAATAGGCACACCTAGCACACCTTTCTAATATATTGCAGCCTGGAAGGGGACAAGAAGACATTATTTGATTATTTTCTTAAATAAGTCTCACTTTAAAACCTAAAATACTTTTTTTTTACTTTCTTGGGGGCGGGGGGAAGTATTAGCAAGCCTCTCATCAACAGTCCATGCTCAGCATATTCTGATCTTTATGCTTAACGCTCTTACCAGTGCTGAGTTTGGGCTGATAAAATGCTCAATAATAACCCAAAGTAGGAACTCATAAGACTTTCTTAGCAAGAAAATAGTTTGGCAATGACAGTGGATCTGTGCTAACTCAATCAACAAGTGCCAAGCAAGGGAGCCAAATGCAAAACTAATGCAAAAACCACAGCTTGCATGGTGTCTAGAAGACTTGGTCCCTGCTCTTTCTCAACCACTGTCCTAAACTCCCTTTCCAACTCGCCATACTTCTTCCTTCCTCCCTACCCTTATAGGCCACTCATTTGTCATGCCAAAGCGGTCTTCTTGAAAATCATTTAGATCTTGTTATCCCTGGCCGGAAGAGCTGTGGTGGTACTGTGGGTCAGGTGTTGGGCTGTGAACTAACTGCAAGGTCTGTGGTTCATATACCAGTTGCCCCATAGGAGAAAAATGAGGCTGTCTGTTCTCATCAACATTTACAGTATCAGAAACCCTATCCACTTGATGGCAGTGGGTGGGTAGTATCTCTGGCCTGCAAGTAGCCAGGAATAGAATTTGGGGAAGGAAAAAAAGGCTACCCATTTTTTTAAACCTTAAATAAGACTGACCGACCTTCAGTTGGGTTGCATCTTAAATCTAATGTAATTAAATTTATACCTCAGCTATGCCCTTCAATTTAACCTTGGTCATTCCTTTAGTACTAAGAGGCATGGCAGTGTGATTCAGCCCTCCTGCCTGGTCTTGGAATGGCTCCTGCTGCCTGTTCTGTCCAGGCCTAAAGCTTCCCAGTGTCCCCTAACGCAATCTGGCTTTAACAAAAAGTGTAATAATGGCTCAAACAGTGCCTAACCTTTGACTTCATGAAGAAGAAGGAGAACTAAGACCAACAACAGCCCAAGATCAATTCCTATAAGGCAGAGGTCAGACATGCCTTCACCTTCCAACCTTCTTTACCAATCTGAAACCAATTGTCCTTCCCAAGGCTAGGCTTGATAATTCGTTGCAATGGCCATACAGAATCCACAGGATATCCTCACACCTATGAAGTTTATTAGGGAAGTCAGCAGATTTATTCAGGACCAGAAATGTTCAGGATACAGTTCTTCTGGTAAGAAGCACCCATTCTCAGCTATGCCCCACATGCATAAGCCCCATTGGCCTTAGTTCTGCTTGGGCAATGTTACAATATTCCTTTAGCACAGCTGATGTACAACCAAAGGACATTCCACTCTGTCACAAGCCTAAGCCTGAAGGTGACCATCCCTAGCTCCACCAGCGAACCCTAGCTCCCTCATTAAATGTCTGGAGTAGGCTGTTGTTGAACAGAACAGGCAGTAGGAGCCATTCCAAGACCAGACAAGAAGGCTGAATCACACTGCCATGCCCCTTAGTACTAAAGGTATGACCAAGGTTAAATTGAAGGGCATAGTTAAGGTGAAAATTTAATTACATTTGCATTTAAGGTTTAACCCAACTGGAGGCCGGTCAGACTTATCTAAGGTATGAAAAATGGGTAGCCTTTTTTTCCTTCCCCACAATCAATGCTCATGGAAGCAGCAGTCAAGATATAAAATGGTGATGGCAACATATGTACAAATATGCTTGATACAATTGACATATGGAATGTTATAAGAGCCATGAGTCTGTAATAAAATAAAAAAAGAGAGAGATCCAATGATGTATTACATTGGGTAAATCTGCTGTACAAAAGTTCTTTAAAATGTCGAAAAACAAGAATGGCTTGGTTTTTTTTCTCTTTGTTGTAAAAAAATTTTAAATCATTTTATTGGGGCTCATAGAGCTCTTAACACTATCCATCCATCCATTGTGTCAATCACATTTGTACATTTGAAAAACAAGGCTGTTACTTTGAGGACTGAGGTACACCTGACCCAAGGCATGGTATTTTCAATTTCCTCCTATGCACGTGAAAGTTGAACACTGAAAAGGAAGAATGAAGAAAAGGTGATAATCTGAACTATGATGTTGGTGAATCATACTGACAGCAGCATGGACTGCCAAAAGAACAAACAGATCTGTCTTGGAAGAAGTACAGCCATCACGCTTCTTCGATGGGGAGACTAGCTCACTTACTTTGAACAATGGCCCCTGTTCCTGGAGAAGGACCTCACTTTCAGTAAATGCGGCAGGGCGGTAAAGAAGAAAAGACCCTGGACAAAATAGCCATGAGTGGAGCACGTTCAAGATCTTGGTCTGAAGTGCTGGAAGCCATGAACAGAGGTACCCTAAGCTCCAACAGAGACCAGGGGATTGAGCAAAGAAGTAGAGGCCAGAGGTGGAGGCAAGGAGATGGTGAGAGCGAACAGAGGAGTCGCACCAAGACTATACAATTGTGAGACAGAGCAGTGAGCTGTCTTTCTGGAGACAGAGGGCGAGGGACCACATGGCTGAGAGGTGGAAGGCCAGAGAGATCTGGCTAATTGCTGAGGAAAGGTCTTGGGGTGGACTATATCCTTATTCTTTACTTATCTTGACTTTTGGTAACCTGTTCACTTCCCTAATAAAACCGCTTAATCGTTAAGCACTGTCTGAGTTCTGTGGGGCTATTGCAATGGAGCAGCAAACCCAGCAGAAAAGTCAAGTGTCGTGGGAGGAATGGTTGGTGGAAGAATAGGGTTTAAACAAGGATGGGGGGGGCGGGAGGGGGGTGCGTGTCTGACCTCTGCCTTATGGCAATCAAGTGACTGGGATCCTCCTTCCCCCATGGGTCATCAGAGGAAGTCAGGTATGGCCCGTGTCACTTACTCAAGATCCTACCTGGTACTGCCAAGTATTCATAAATAAAGGTTGTGTTTTGTTGACCGTCAATAAATGAAATATATAACGAGAAAGCAAAACCATGTTGTACACCACAACTTGTGATTAGCATCTGAAATTCAATCATTAGCACGTTAATTCTTTCTTCAACTACAGATTTTAATGGTTACAACAGTTTGTGGACTTAAAAAAAAAATCTGATGAATACATAAATGCAGTCAACCAGCCAAATAAATGACTTTTTGGAGAAGTTTTCTGATGTTTTATGTGGCTTCCGCTGCCCTGACTATAGCCTATTGACTTCCTGTAGACCCAATTTCAACCTGCAGAGCCTGGGGGCTACCTGGGTTGGTATACAGCTGGCTCTCCACGGTCTTGCCAATGCATTGCAGCTTGACAGCCTGCAGGGAGTCATCCACGTGCATGATGGTCGGCAGACTGCCCAGAGTGTCCTGCACCAAGTTGGCCACCTCCCGGACATCAAAGAGCTTCAGCAGCTCGGAGTACACAGCTGGGAAGGAGCTGAGAAACACGGCCTTGGAAATAAGAAGAAGTTTGCATCAATTCCCAAACTGGTCACCAGAAGTGAGCTGTAAAACGTCAGTGAGTTTAAGCACTGCATCTTTGAATGGTAGAGAGGTAAATGTAAAATCTTTCTGTTCCCGAAAGCTAAAAGGGCAAAATAAAACAATGACAACAAGCAGTACAGTAAACGAAGGCAGTTTCTTAAGATATGCAAACATGCAACATAATAAAACTGGAAAATTCCTGAAAATCATGACTGGTTAACATTTTACAGAATCAGCGAAATGCAGCTTGATCGGATGGAAAGAACGTTTAACTGAACACATGGCTTCCGGTCACTCTGACTTTAGTCCAGGTGGAAGACGCTTTCTAAAATGCTCGCTTCAATCTCATTTACCTTTAAGAAAGGAAACACATGACTGCCCTAAAGCATCCAGCTCAGGGGTTAAGGTAAAAAAACACAAAAACAACATAGGCCAGAGCACTAGAAGACCTCTGCAATATGTAGTGCTGAGGGGGGCACAAAGGGTTAAGTGTTCCACTACAAGCCAACAGGTCGGTAGTTTGAGCCCACCCAGCAGCCTGTCAGGCCTGGGGCTGGTTTCCAGAGTCACAGCCTTAACAATCCTACGCAGTGCAGTCCCCTCGGACACACTCTGAGCTGGAATTCACTCACTTGGAATTGACTGCAAGCAGCTTTGCTTCCTCCCAACTCTTTGAGCAGAGACAAGCCATTTTACTTCCCTAGGACTTAGCTTTATCATGGATAAAATGAAACTATCACTAGACTGACTCTGTGGGCTGATTCAAAAACCCGTTGTTAAGTCAGAACTGTGCATACGGATATAGACAAGGACCAATATTCTTAGGCTAAGTGAACTTTTGATAATAGATTTCAGAAAACCAATTATGCTGACGTCAATCTTCAAGGGACATGCTCGGAAAAGGCGTGGTGATGGCTAGGATGATGCACTAAAACAATAAACTGAGCCTGTTAATGTTGCACAGACAGACAGCCGTGGAAGGGAGGGAAACCAGGTCTCTGCTCAACCTAGAGAGGGAGGAAGCAAACGTTTCCAGTATGCCGGATGTCAGTGCGGCTGGATTGCCAATGAGATCTGACACGAGTGGAAAGTAGGTCGAGTCTCCATGTCCCGATGATGCAAACATGGAATCACATTCAAGTTCGTAGATTTTAGTATTTATTTATACAGCAGCAGCAAAAAGATAGAGAAAAGCCAAGACCCATGTTTTTTATGTCAGAGCCATCAAAATGCTGAAGGTCTTAAAACTGCAGCTCCACTTCAACGTGATTGAAATGGGAAACTTGGTATATCCCATGAAAGACTATTTATAGAACCTTTATTTCACTCTGCACAGAGCTGAGTCATACGGATGAAGTTAAGAAAATAAAGTAAAATGGGCCCAGCATTTTGATCCAATATGCTGAAAAGTTCCTGAAGTTGATTTCCCCCAGGAATGCCTTAATTTATCCATTAATTCTTATTTTATATCTTATAAAGAAATTTCTGAATGTGCCTGCAGTGTGAGATACATTCATAATAGGGCTACTGATAAAGGATAAAGGCACCAGAACCTGACAGGGAGGGCAGCTGCACCGAGGGATCTCAGCTCAGGCATTTTTAATTGCAAGTCAAAACAAAAGCGAAACTCCCACTTGACCTTCCTGGTAGCCAAAGCAAATCGGAAAAGACTGAATTAGAATCCACCCTATTCCAGTATGACCTCATGTTTACTTAATTGATAACATGTTCAACGACCCTATTTCCAAACAAGGTCACATCGGCATGTTAGGGCTTCACTTCACTTCGGGGGACACAATTCAAGCCATAGCAAACCTTTCAGAGACGCAGGTGTTTGTGGAGTTCAGTGAGAAACTATGACTTAAACTATGACTTAAGGGCCCAAAAGTAAAATATATATATATATCTTTTGATATGAATCAGAAGAGGAGCTTTGTCCCTATGATAGGTAGAAGTTAAATTGGAAAAGCTCACAATGAAGCCTCAAAGCCTAAAAAAATTCACAGTAGTAGTCCATGTTTGAGGATTCTGGTTAATCCATTGGAATATCCTTCTCAAATACCCAATGCTGTAAGCCCAGTGTGGTCAGTGGACCACTTGACATTGAAGTTTCTGGCCAGTTCTTAAAGGACAAGGCTTATAGCCTGTAGAGTCCAAAACCAAATCGGCAAGGTTCTGAAGGACAGCCTTGCACAGAATGGAAGCTCAGTCTACATTTGCACAGCAGAGAGGAGCTGCAGAACAGTCCGTAAACACACAGAATTGTACCGCAACTTTATTGGGGGGGGGGGGTGCGTTTCTTGTCTTTTGTAACCAGCATTACTCCTTCCAAACGTCACATGGCACCAAATTGTAATCAAACTTTCCAATATCTGCTGCTGCCTTCTCGTCTCCCATTTAATGTCTAGTTCCTGAACGATCACATCTCCAGGGGACTGTTTTTCTTCCGGACAGGTTTTGTTCAACCAAGTCAGTAGACTCAAAAGCATAAGGAAAAGATAACAGAGATATTCAGGTTCATTTCTTGGAATACGGTCAAGGCCATGCCCTTTTCAAAGTGGACAGATCCCATCCTTAGAACAAAATAGATGTTAGCAGTACTGGTCATATACAATCTGCCTCCCAGACAATCAGGATCGAGTAAAAGAAAACAAAACCACACAAAATTGAGCTGAGTCCCATCTAATGAGTCTGAAGTTGACAGATTAACATTCAGTGTGGGGAACAATACATGCAATTGCCTGGCTCTAGTGAAATTCCTTCCCAGGGCCGGCCGATGGTGACAGCTTGTCCAATCATAAGTATGCATATTGGCAAGCAGAAACAAGGCTCGGGCAGAACCAGTGACCTTTCCATTCAGGCAGAGCGCAGTTTGAACACAGGCAACTCACTTATGCCCTGCTGGGACTCAGAACAGGTGCAATTTTACCACCGGCTCAACATTAGCTAGGCTAGAAATATAACTGGGGGATTGGGGTGTGGGTAATATGGGCCTCTCACACAGCAAACATTCGATGCTGCTGCTGCTACTACGGAAAAGTCATTGGCACCCAACTTTTCCTTCTATTCAATAGAGAGTGAAAAGCAATCACCTGTGATTGAGATAGTGCTCCCGACCCTTTGCTCTCCTGGGAGAGAAAGAAGCGGATTGACATCAGGAGCTCCTGGATGCAGCAGCGGAATTCCTCCTCGTTTTGTCCACCAGTGGCCAGGGAAAAGAGCCTTCGGGACTGAACGATGTACTTAAAAATGTACTCCTGAGCCTTAAAACAAAATATTGAAAAAGTCAGCGTCAAAGGGGACCAGAACACACGTGTATCTCTTTAACGAATCAGGGCTCAGCGTCAGGCTTTTAAATGATTGATCTCAACACGGAGGCCCTGTGAGGGTCTTGAGCTTAGTTGATGTTCATAAGAGTAATGTTTCTGCCCAATGGGAGAAAAAGTACAGCCACTAGGTGCCTTTTAATTCAGTCAACAAAATGATGAGTGTCTATCTGGCTGTCAAAATGATCCTGCTTCACTGGGAGGCACTTCCCACCCCAGCATTTTACCTTCCATGAGAAACAAATGATAGCTGTATCATCAAGCAAATACTTGCTTCATAAAACATATATTCTAAGGATCCCTGTTAGGCACTGGGCTAGCTAACTACAGGGTGGCCATCCAAACTCTCCAGCTCTTCCATGTGAGAAGAAGAGGAGGCTGCTTGCTCCATCCCATAAAAGATGCCTTGGAATCTTGGAAACCCTATATAGACAAGGGTCATTGGCGGTTCGTTTCTCAGGTGATATATTATGTAATTCTAAGGCTGTTAAATGGAATGTTACCCGACAATAGAAATCAGAACTGGGCAGTTTAAGAAGGAAATGATATTCCTTGTGAATATAAGACATTTTATTCCTTTTGAACATCTCCATTTACCACCGAGCCAAGTAGGGCTCAGAGGTAGGGCAGCTTTCAATCGGGAGACCTGGTAAGACCTCTGGTTTCCACATTTCAATCACTACTAAGTCACCACACAATTCTCTTCCAATTTAAGGTAAATGATTTTCTCATGGTCTCTATCAAGGCGACCGAAGCCAGAGCCGGGGACTTCTAACCTAAGTGGACATGCCTGGGAAAATCCCTTCCCAATTCTCTCCGAGAAGCTCCGAGCAGGCATAAACTTATTAAGATCTTTGATTCTGAGTGTCAGTAATGCATCATCCCCAATTACTGTCTGTGTGGAGGAAAGCAATTAGTTTTAAGCATCACTGTGCAAAAGCTTTGTTTGATCATGTTATGTTATCAACAGGATGCGATTACCTTCAGCACCTCCTGGATATGCTCTTGCCGCTCAGCTTCGGTGATCCTGTCCACGTACCACTTGAGCACTTTGATGAGGTCTCTAAAGTACAGGGGGTGGGGGAGAGGCAATGTGCTGAATGAAAAATCAGTCTAATTCTCAATTTCATGCCCCCCAAATAAAACACTCATTGTCCTGAAATGACTTCTGTTTTTTTTCCATCCGTTCTCACGTTTTAAAAGACACTGCACTCGATATAAAAAGAAATTAGACAAAAAGTGTCCAGGCAAGTTTTTGTTAATGGTGGTAGACTAAGTAGGAAGAAGATAGGGATACAGATCGGGCAGCATGAGGGTTGCCGGTGTCATGGAATTGGACATATGGAAACTGCTAAATGGATGAATGCTGTGTATATTTTCCTCAAAAAATAAAGCATCAGGCAAATAGCTTACTTCCAAAATAAATCAGGAAATAAAAACGCGGCAGATAAAGGCTTTATTAGTTCTCAAGGTTCACGCCTGTCACACAAACTGTTACTCTTCGTGATTTTACTAAGTCAGCCTGACCCCACCACCACTCCCTTTCGAACCTGGAAGAGGAAACAAGACTTCCTCCCATTGAGATTTCCCTCCACCGTGGGTCCTGCTGTTTCTGGCAAAGCCTCCAAACCGTGGACACAAACATCAGAGAAAAAGAGTCTGGTCAAGGAATTATCTGGAAGCATGCCTGCCCCAGCTAATGTTGGACAATGGCTAAGTGGAGCTCCCTTCCTCAAAGACTTTGTAAACAGCTGGATCGACTAAACACCACTCAGCTGGAGGCAAAACCCTGATGGCACATGTCCCCATTCCAATGCACACACCCATCCATGGCTTTATACTCAAGGGCATTCTCTGATCAGTGAGGAGAACGATGCTCATGGTCAAGTCTACCTTAGTAGGGCCTTTTCCAGAAAACCCAACTATGTAATTAGTCTCATTAAGAAAGAAAATCTGAATTAAAAATGAAACAGAACCCAACTCTCCAGATGACAGTCTGTCTACCTTGACTCTTGGCCAGTCTTTGGTTTCTAGGCAACCTAAAGATCACACAGGAATTTCTGAGCGGTACTCTTCCCTCACAGTCCGGGCAGAATCCAGCCTGCTGCTGGGCGTGTTATGGTCAAGCTAAGATATCAGTGATTTTCTGGCTGCCCACAGCCGGAGAAGATTTCCCCAGGACTTAATTTAACTTCTTTGGGCTGATTAACCTGAAGAACTAGGAATTACTGGTTAACAAGAAGTGTAGCACCTACACTCGTTCTTCAGTTTCTGATGGCCATCCCCACCAGACACAGTCACCTTCTCATCTGTTAGGAGTTGGTTAAGCCGATTCCAACTCACGGGGACTCTGCGTGACAGAGGAGAAGTGCCCCATCGGGTTTCCTAGGCTGGAATCTTGACAAGCATGGATTGCCAGCTCTTTTCTCTCGCAGCAATGCTGCTGAGTTTCAACTGCTGACTTTTCCAGTAGCAGCCAAGCCCTTCAGCCCCCGAACTGCCAGAGCGCCTGATGCCCTCATAAACCGGAACCCGCTGCCATCACGTCGATTCCGACTCGACAGAGTGAAGCTAAGGGTCTCAGGAGAACTGCCCCACGGGGCTTCCAAGGCCACCCACCTTACAGCAGACAACCGGCACATCTCTCCTGCAATCCCAATACAAAACCCAAACAGAACACACCACCACCAAGTTGAAGGCTGACTCATAGCAAGCCTATAGGATGCTTACAACTAACTGGCCTTGTGAGTTTCCAAGCCTGTAACTCTTTACAGGAGTAGAAAACCTTGTCTTTCTCCCATGGACTGGCAGGTTGTTTCAGACGGCTGATCTTGTAATCAGCAGCCCAATGCATACCCACTCTGCTACACGGCCAGGACGCACTCGGACCAGGGCCCAAATTGTTGGCCTGAGTGGCAAAGCTTTGCCGACCTTTCCAAGGGATTCCTGTTGCTGCAGTTCACCTTTGGTATCAAACCATGTTGACGGTGGGTCCAATGCTGGCACAAGTCGCTCCGTTCACATCAGTGGTGAAGGTGTAACTCTTTAACATGAGGGATCAGCAATACCCAAGTAAGCAAAGTCAGATGCTTTATTTGACGAACTACCATCCTGGATGCATCACGTCTATGGGGGAAGGAGCTCAAAAAGCTAGCTCTGTCTTCTTACCTCACCTCTGGGGATCTATTACTGTACATGTGCATGCTCACAGGTGCTAAAGGCAAAAAGGTAAAATCGTGGGCAGAACAGCCATGACAGTGCTAGCAGAGGGAGGTGGAATTAGCGGGGTCTGTGTGTGGGCTGTATTCAAGCAGGGCCAGGAGACAGGGAAGAAACTGCATCGGACAGAAAGAAGGCACTGCCTTCTGGCGATTATCCGTGAACCCTAGTGGAGGCAAAAAGGAGCACATCACTGTTTACTCATTCATGCTTAGCTTCCCAAGCCTATAATCTGCTCTGGAGTGAAAACAAAAGACCATGACATTGTAGCTGCTAACTGAAAGGTTGGCAGTTCAAGCCCACTCGGGGGTACCTCAGAAGACAGGCCTGGCAATCTGCTTCCTTGGGATTCCTTGAGAACCCGAGGGAACAGTTCTGCTCTGCATCCAGGAGGGCACCGGCGCGAGATGGCATCTACTCCACAGCAACTAACCACAGCAAGACTCAAAGGGGAGATTTCCATGACTGGACTGCTTGCCCACGGGGATCAGGTCTTCCTCTTCTTAGCGCCTCCCATGCAGTAGGGCCCAGGAGACATGCTGCTGCATAAACGAATTTAAAATCGTCTGGAAGCCAGGCTGGTTCCTCTCTGGGTTTCTTCCATAACAGCATCAATCACCATCAAGGAGGAGGAGGACTAAGTGGGGCTCTTGAAAGCCCAAGTGGAATCACCAGGCATTTCAGACTAAAGGCTCTCAAGGGAAACAGACTAGAAGAAAACACTATCATTCTGGTCTCAGGAATAGAATTTGGGATGTTCTCTTTCTCTCCCTCTCTTCTTCTCTTAATCAAAATAAGTTCTAGCCATTAAAAAACAAGAGTGGTTGGGGGAAGATCCTGTCTCGAGAGACACTTGAGTTGTCGTGCTTCATTTCTTCCTACACGCCTCTGAAATTTTTCTTATGTAACTGGCTCTGCTTAGAAATGCTCTAAAGGGCCTGCTTCCAAAGCAATTATAAGATGAAAGGCCTCACCTGTATGCAAGCGCCCCAGCAAAATGACTCTCAATGTACGTGTCCATTACAGGTTTGAAATGATGAAATTTGCTATCCTGTAGCAAATTTATTATGTGAACCTAAACAAAGGGAAAATTGTGTTTTCAAAACTGAATGCAAATCAAAATGGCCTTTTGTTATTCTTAAATGAACTGTGATGCTATTAAGTGCATATTTCTGAAACATCCTTAGCAAAGGCATGATGGGCAGACCCAATTGTTCATATGCCATTAAAGCAAATTTACACTCACCAAAGAATCAAACACTTTAGATCCATATTTTTGGGAGTTTTCATCTAAAATTCCAAATAAGGTGTCCAGTGTATCTTGTAGGAACTGTTACAATAAAGTAGAAGGAGGATGAATAAACAGTATAGGCTCTGTCCCTCCTGCAGCCGTTCTTTCTCCTTGGAATACCCAGGAAAGGAGCAATGGGGTGGCAACATACCTTAACAATCTCTGAGCCATCGATTTCTTTTAATTTAGAGAGACAGCCGGTGATCTTATCTGGGTGGGTTCTCCATTTCAGAAGATCGAGCATGTCACCTTTCCAAAGAGAAAAAGAATACAAGTTTCTGTCATAGAAACCAGTCCCTGGAAGGAGCTGATGCCAAGGGCTGAAGTAGAAGGCAAATGCTTTGCGAATGATGATGGCAACAAATGTACAAATGTGCTTGGCACAATGGATGGATGGATGGATGGATGGATGGATGGGTGGATTGTGATAAGAGTTGTACGAGCCCCCAATAAAATGATTTCTTTTAAAAAGAAGAAAACAGTCCCTTGCATGAAGTATTTGACTGGGAAAAGTGGGATTCCCAAACATAATGCCTACCCTGCCTTCTCCCTCCCTCCCTACAGAATAGGAACAGGCCTCTCAAAGGGCAGAGATGACAGCGTGTGATACATATTTCCTTTCTCCTTGCATTATTGATTTCCTAACTCCTTCTCATCCCCCTGAGCTCCTGTGATTGTCGTTGCCGCGTGCCATTCAGTTGGTTCCAACTCCGACTGACCTCATGAACAATAGAAAGAAACACTGCCCGGTCTGGCATCATCCTCACCATTGTTGTTAAGTTTGAGCCTGCTGTCGTAGGCACAGTGCCAATTCCACTCCTTTGCCTTTGATGCTGCCCCTCTACTTAACCAGGCAATGTGTCTCTTTCCAAGGACGAGTCTCTCCTGGTGACATGTCCAAAGTACATGGTGGTGCACACTGTTAACCTGCTCAGCTGCTACTCAAAAGACTGGAGGTACAAACTCACCCACAACAACCTTGGAGGAAAGGCCTATTTACTTCTGAACAGTCCACCACTGAAAGCTTCATGGGGCAGTTGCACACACACACACACACACACACACACACACACACACACGAGGTTGAAATGAATTCGGGGTCAACTTGGAGGAAAGGCTTATTTACTTCTGAACAGTCCACCACTGAAAGCTTCATGGGGCAGTTGCACTCTGACACACACACACACACACTAGAGGTTGAAATGAATTCGGGGTTAACCAGTTTTGATGACTGGATTTTCAGTTCTTCAGATCAGGTTAGATGTTGCTACCCTAGGAAGATTTCCCTGAAATCTCTAGACTGAGTTTAGAATCCCTGGTGGTGCAACAGTTAAGCACTCCACTGTCAGATGAAAGGTCCCCAGTTAAAAACCTTTGTGGAAGACTGGTGATCTACTTCAGCAAAGACCATTTCAGTCGCAGACAGGAAAACCCAAGGGACAGTTCTATTTGGACGCATGGGGTTTCTGGGTATGGAATCATCTCGATGTACTCCCACAGCGCACGAGGACTTACAGTGTCTGACTGTGCTCCCAACTAGCCTTAGTTAGGGCATCCCCAGAACCAGGAAGATGGCAGGCCTACAGCAAAATAAAACAACAAGCCACTGCCACCCCGCTGGTTCTGACTCACAGTGACCCACAGATGGAGCAGAACTGCTCTTGTGGATTTCGGAGGCTGTATGGGAGCAGAAAGCTTCACCTTTCTCCGAGACAGCCTTGGGGATTTCGAACTGCTGAAGTTGTGGTTCGCAGATCAACGCAAAGCTCAGTATATCACTAAGCCTATAACAAGCAGTCAGTAAATATTTGTTGAAGAATGTCTGCATAGTCTCAGGAGAATGGGAGTCACTTGGGACCAGAGCTCAGCATAATTCATGGGACCCGCAGCACACAGTACCCATACCACCCCATTCTGCCCACCAGTGCACGTCTTCTTGATCATTTGACCAAAGCTCCACAGGGGTATAAGGTCTCTGCACAATAATGGCAAGCCCAGTGAACTGGCAGAATTATCTAGTGAAACCTTAGCCTTAAAAGTACCAGGTCCCGGACTCCACACACTCATCTTCCATCATGGATTCTGAGCAAGCTCTGAGCTCAGCTATGCAATTTGCTCCCACTTCCTCAAGGGACAGTGTGGGGTCGAGTGGCCCAGAGGGTCACCACGAGAGTTTCCAGAACTGAACATAAAACATTCACGTGAAAGTCCTTGCTTCAGGAAAACCCCAAATAGGACTTGCTGAGAAAGAAGGAACAAGGGTGCAGGGCAGGGGAGAAAAGAAATGAAGGACGTGGTTATGATGAGCAGGGAAATAGGGTGTCGTGGCCAGAAACGAGGAAAAGCATAAGAATTGCAAGAAGGAAATAGAAACAATGTGCACCACAGTCACCAAGACCTTCATGGTGACGAATTTCATCCTAACGAGCACTGCAGATGCTCAACACACAGGGATAAGGGCAGGAGGATGGCACTTTGGACTTGGAAAACTAAAGGAAATTTTTAAAAAGTGAAGAAGAGATTTGCAAGGCGTTTATAACAACCACCTAAAGAAGAAAATCAACAGAACAAACGATCGCTATTCATCTCTCACTCAGACATGCTGGGGATTTGATGGGAAGCTTTCTGAGGAATGATTGGTTGTATTTCGAATCTTCCACTGAGAAAGACCCATGGTGGCAGAGGTGTACCTCCAGGATTCTCTGCTCTGTGGGCTTCCTCCCGCCCCTCACTGCCTCCTCAGTTCCTGCTGCCCCACTTTCTATTCCCTACCTCCTACTTCCTGCATGGTTCTGCAGGTGAGCACCTTCCAGTGCCTAATTCCCTGGTGCCTGCTTCCACTCCCTCTGCAGGCAGGCACTCCTCCCTGCTCTGCGCTTCTCTTCCCAGAGAGCATGTGGGGAAATGAGACTCCGGGGAGGAAGAAGCTGGTTCTTCTGGGCAAAATGACATCCCCAGAGGCAGCAGCAGGGGGATCCGGAGTGGCCTGAGCAGAACTGGAAGACATATCCAGCATCTGGACAATGCGATCAGGATGAAGCTGTCTGTCTTTGCTGCCAGAAGCAGACACCTCAAAAGGGAGCACTCTGGAGAGTCAGAACAGGATGCCCTCATGTCACAGTGAATGAGGCTCGCAAAGAACTCACCGGTCCAGTGAAATAGCTACTTTCTAGGTCTCTGTTGCAGTCACATGAGTGGCAAGTTAGGAGTGGGGGCCTACCCCTGAAAACAGTAATTTTCTATCTTTCATTCAACCTGCATTTACGAAAGAGTCGTGGCAGAGCTGATTCCAACTCATGGGAACTCGGTTACAGAGTAGAACGGAGCTCCGCTGGGTTTCCCTGGCTTACGATTCATGAAGGCAGATCACCTGGTGGTTCTTGCACAGTACTGCTGGGTGGGTCTGGAACCACCCACCTTTAGGGTCGTAGTCGACCACAAACAGTGCACCATATGGCGACTTAGGCATTTATTAGGTGTCTGCTTTTGTGCCTAGCCTACTGAGAGCTATAAAATGGGTGGTGACATGATCGCATTTTCCAGCAGCTTTCTTTGCCTGCCCAGGCACACTGGTCGACCCTGGCACAGCACTCTGGCTTTGCAACACTACCCACGAACAATGGGGTGGGGGTGGGGGGAGAGGAGGAGGAAGCATGCACACACACTGCAGGGATCCCGGAATGCAGCTCTGCCTAGGAAACTCTTCCTAGACCTCACATCATTTGCTAAATGCCCAATTATAAGGGAAATGGGATTTGTGCATTTTCCAAGTAGCGCAAAATTAATATATAGCAATTTAATTCCAATTTGGAACTGGGTGACTTCGACACAGAGATGGTGTGTCTGGCATGTAAATTTCAGAAAGCTCAACCAACTTCCTTCTCCCTTCTCATCTTTTGAAACCTGCGATTCATTTCCTGGTGTATTTTGAGCTGTCATACATCAACAAAGCTGATAAAATAAAAATGAAAATTTAGCACTTAGCAGTCTCTAACAGCCAGGACACTGGCACTGCACTGAATTATGATCCCACCTCCTATACAGGGAGGTTCTTAGTGTGATGGATTCTTTAATTGGCCATATTTACCTGTCTTGACAAAGTACCAACTTTGAATCATCAGGATCTTGTTCACTCTATCCTGTGTTGTTAAATCCCCAGGAGAATTGTGTCCCATAGGCTTTTCAATGGTGCTTTTTTGTTGGTAAATTGTCCGGCCTCTGGATAGACTTGATCTCTGGGCCTTCTGGTTAGCAATTGAGCACATTAACCATTTGCACCATCCAGGGACTCCAAGAATTCAATGCGACCCAAGAATTATGCTCAGTAGCACACCATAACTAATCTGCACAGGATGGTTAAAAACTCCAAGCCAGTACCAGGTAGACTTTATTTACTTCAGAACCTTCTTGGGGGAAGACTGTCCCCTTAAAGAAGACAAGCTTGGCAAAGGCTTTAAAATCCATCACAACTGTGCATGGAGGTTTTGTTTAAGTAAAGTTATTAATTACTGATTACGGATAAATTCTGATCTAATGACAAATCTTGACAACTTGGTAATAGCCACTTTCAATCAAATTCACAAAAAGTAAATTATGCAGTTGATGTCTCAAAAGTACTTTTGAAAGAGGAGATGTAAAAAGTCATAAAAACATGACAGGAATAAGTTGAGTTTGTTGTTTTTTCACTCCCTAAATGCTAAGCAAATATTATAACACTGCATACAGAATCAACAGTATGTGATCAACCTCATGGTGATGCATTTGGGTGCTTCTCTGAAGAGAAGCATATTTATCAGACAGTGGAACTTCTTACGAAGTGACTCTCTTTCAACTAAGGCATCTGACTGAGGAATCTGGCAACCAGGCTGCTAGCCAGCAGTGCCCCCTGCACCCTTGGCAACCACAGAGAACTCGAAAATATGTAATTTACTTTCTTCATTACAGATGCCGTCTTCATAATAATGTTCAGGGAGAAGAGCTTGCTTTATTAATCATAACTTGCTAAACAATCACTGACATAAAAAGCAATGCTAGAACAGAAAAAGCAATATCCATCTAATTAAACAACAACACCCTCCCTCCCCCCAGCCTTTATTCTAAAGCCTGCAATTAGCACTGTTCATGGAGCTATAAAATGAGAGACTGAGGTAGGGGTATTCTTTATCACCACCACCACCCCCACCGACAGCTGGGTTTTGATAGTTTATTTGAGGAGCTGTATGCTTGAGTTCCAATACTGCGACTGTGGAAGTCTTTAAGTGACCCGCATCCAAGGGACGCCGAAGATGACTGTTCCTGTTCTACTGGAAATGACAACACAAGAAGCAATCATTTTTTCCTGGTGGGAAGATCTTGCGCATAAACCCAGTGCTTAATGAAGGTGGTTACCAACACTCACACGAGTCCTTCCTGTGCACAGATTTTCAAATCAACCATGCTATACTTTACCGTTCTGTGTGAGTTTTGTGGAACAGAGAAAAGATGTTATCCAAAAAGACTCCTTTGTGGCCTTCATGGCTGGATTATTGTGCCCCAGGAGAAGGCCCTTCGAGAAGGGAAGCTTGAGGTAGTGGGTCGGGTCTTGAAGGTTTGTGTTTTCTTCACACTGTGAAAAACATCAAAACACAAAACGGAGGGGGGTACGAATGGATACGGATTATTAAGCATCAGTTCCATTGTGAGAGTTTATGAACTTGAAAACATTCCAAAGAGCATCACAAATAGGATTTGGTTTTTAAGCAGACTGTTCTGTTTTGTTTTCAAAGTATGGAAGGCATGGGATAAAGCATGGTTTTGGAGTCAGACCGATCCGGATTTGCGTGCCAGCTCTGTCAGTCCCCATAGGAGTGATGCATCGGGTTCATTTAATCACTTTGGGCTTCTAGTTTTCACCTCTAAAAGCTCACTCTGTGTCTTGAGAAAGAAACGCTATAAAGCCCTTCAATACAGGGGCTGATACACCGGAAATGCTCAAGAAATCCTTTGCTTGCAATGACCACAGCACTCAAAACAAAACTGAAAATAACAAGCTTAAAATTTCGCCCAGTCTCCCACTTAAGGCAGCTACTAAACAGTTCCTTATTTTGAAAACTTGCAATTAACAGGAATCTGTATTTCAGGAGAATCTAATAATCCTAGTAGATGAGGAAATCTCTGTATTCCAGCAAAGAAAAGTAAATGTGGGCCAAAAAGTACAGTTTCGTACCCCAAATATAATTATTTCTGAGGTCAAGGACTGTCATTAGTGCTAAAATCATCCAGGGAATTGTTCATGAGGAATTAGTCTTTTCCTTTTTTTTGAATGATTACTGATTACTTCCTAGTGGCAAGAGGACAAATCTAATTAGACAGGGAGGGATTAGGTTGTCATCATGCTAATGCAGGGCAAGGCTAACAAAACACATCATCTCTAAAGCAGTCTAGTCAAAGATGTTGAGCTTGAACCTGTCAAAACTTCAGTCAACTTCCAGTTTGCAGGCAATACAGGGGACAGAGCCACATGTTACACAACACTCCAGAAACAACCTCAGACATCCTCTTTTGCAGGATGCCTTGGCCTTGCTGCTTCAACATGGGTGGCTTTTTTTGTTTGTTTGTTTGGTTTTAAATTAAGCAACATTTAAGAGATAGCCAGCTGGATAGAACATATAGCCCTAGATTGGATGTTGATATGGACCAGGGGTCCCAAACTTATTTAGCCTACCACCACTTTTCAGGAAAAAAAAAATTCCTCAGAAACCCCCTGGCAATGAAAAAATGTTTGTCCTATAACCTGTAATCCTAGCTAAAGTATAGGCATCTGCTTCTGTGGCCACACTTAGCCCCTGTCCTAGTAGACACCCCTCTCTCCCCCATGTCCAGGCGGCACTATTCCCCACTTTGGGAAACACTGGTTTTGACAAACCTGGTAAGAAGGTTATTTTGAAAAATGTGTACATATATACTAAGGTTTATATGAGTTAAAAATTTACTGATTGAAAGGTCAGTAATGGAAGAAAAGCTGATTAAAAAAACCCTTGTTTATTATGATACCATTTAAGTTAAAAAAAAAAAAAAAACCAGAAAAAACTATCTGTGGTTCTCAGCCTGTGGGTCGCAACCCCTTTGGATGTTAAACAACCCTTTCACAGGGGTCACCCAATTCATAACAGTAGCAAAATGACAGTGATGAAGTAGCAACGAAAGTAATTTTATGGTTGGGGGTCACCACAACATGAGGAACAGTATTAAAGAGTTGCGCCTTAGGAAGGTTGAGAACCACTGATGAACAGTAAAGGGCTGGTGATAAACATCCAGTATTTTTCATTTTGGTTTATCTATATATTGCTTTCATCATGGTTTTTAAATGTTCCATTTTTTATGTTATATATTATATTTTGAAAGATGTTATGTTATATATATATTTAAATATAACAGATCTAAAAACTGGCACAGCTTACATGATTTTTATGTAAACATTACATTTCCTATGAAAGTTATACCTTTGAAATAATTCCTGTTTTTCAAGGCTAGTATCCCCAAAACAGGAAGGAGGTTAAACACAGAATTCCTTTGGGATTCTAGACTATTTAGACTAGTGTGATTTACAAAATATTTTCTAAATTTCAATAATAAATGTAACAAGCTTAGAGTTGGAATCAGAATATTACACGATGTTCTCATCAGCACACCTGCCCAGTGAACATTATAAACAGCCTCCCTAATTCTCTTCTAATGATACAACTCCAAATGCTCCCTTCCATTACTGCGTGATATTTCATACAGACAGCAGAGTGCATGAAACACACACAGGGGCACAGAGACGAGTCACAAAGAGCACAGCCTCAATGCTTCCTTGCGAAACGCCGCTCAGGGAAAGCAGTATTCTGAAACTGTGGACTGTTGCTCTCCTCCTCTCCTCTGCCAGCCATGTTCCTATCAGGAAGGCCTAGAACGTAGGAAGTCAGAGTACGAAATTTTAAATCCCATATTCATATTGTGCTTCCTGCTTCTGATCTATGTGGTGCGGTGTGTGCTCTGACCCCTATCCCTAGCACAGGCTCTGTTCCCTCCACCACCAATTTCTATTGTGACTAGTCCCATCCCAAACCCATCCCAGGTACGTTGCCCAGATATTTCCATACCTCTTCCCTAGGCGACAAAAGTTGCTCTCAGATGCTCCATCTGTTATAGAAATTTTGTTCTCATCGGTGTATATCTCAGACCACTGTACACTCAACTAATTGTGTGGCTCGGGTTCTGAAGCCCTCTAAACAGCCTCTGGGGACTTTTGCTTGATGGGTCACCTGGCTCCACTGGTGGTCACGGGACTAAGCTCATCCATGACTGGAGATGTGATGGCTGTGTTGGCTCCTTAGGGGGCAGTGGGTACAACACTTGGCTGCTTTTCCTGGGCTAGTCTTTGTGGCCGGATTAGTTCCACCAACCCTGGTTCCATTGACTTCTTCCATAGCCTGGGCAGCCAAGACCTCCAGTACCTTACACATAAACTCTATCCACTATACTGAAGTACACAATACAATAATTCATATAAACATTGCTCTGAATACCGTTAGTTCAAGAATTCTCCCAAGATATTGGGGGTTGCGGGGTGGGGGGATGTACGTGAGAGTGATGTGAGAGGCAGAAAAAAGAGAGAGAAGGAAGAATGAATTCTCTCCACCAATTTAGTCTCTCTAAACTCTTCGCTATAATGACCAGTGCGCAAAACATATATTTTGTCCATTAAGAGTCAAAGCAGCTATGTTAGGTATGGGATTATTATGCGAGCTTTATATTTACTTCTGAGTACTTTAAATGACCTTAAGAAATTCCACAGAAGCTCTGATCGCATAGCTTTGAGGTTTTTAACATGCAACCTTAACATATCATACAAGCAGGGGAGGTTTGTAATGTAATCCATGCAACGGCTGCTTATACTCTATGTGAGACACTGCTAAGCTCGTTACATCTATTTTCTGATCTTCAAAGGCAGGATCCTGGGACCTAGAGAGTCTGTTTGGTTTATCCAATGTTGCAGTATTAGTGCTAGAGTTCAAATTTGAACCAAAGTTTGTGTTTACAACTTTCATGGAACACTGCTTTCCATGGCTGTTGTTTTAACTAGGCTTTGAGTTTTTAAATAAAAATTTTTAAATACATTGGCTAATATCATATAACTCGAGTATAAGCCAGCCCAAATATCAGTCGCAGCATCTAATTTTACCACAAAAACTGCATTTAAAAATTGTGCTGAAAAACTCAGTTTATACACGAGTATATATGGTAATTAGTGGTGATGGCTAAGAAAGATGAAGAAAAGTTGACATTTCAAAAAGAAAAAAAAAGCCTCTTATATTTATGGTTAATGAAACTGAAAGAAGGCTTA